GATTGTCACGGGTGTTTCACTTGCTTTAGTTCACCTCCATCGCATAGTTTTCACACTAAAAATTTGTCTTCCTAGTCAAAATTCAGTGGCAGGAAAAAGTTCTTTTGGGGCCTTGTTCGTTGCGATCTCCACGATATTGATAGAGCCAAAAGTATTGAATTATTTTCATGCTATTGGTGTTTTGAGAAACAGTTCTAATTTTTGCATGAGTGTTCTCCAGAAAAGAGTGTAATTTCCCGTTGATCACATTGCGCCTTCAGGAACCGATTTGCCTGGGGCGAGGATGCACTTGGACCCCATGTCCCCGTCGGTGGAAAAATGGGAGCTCCTGAAAACCCAGAGCTGCACACTTATGATGGAGAGTATCGTGGAACTCCTTCAAAAGGAGATGTACTTATACCTGAGTAAGTTCTTTTTTCTTTAAATTTTTATTCATGATTTTAATCCGGTTACTTTTTCAGTTGGTCCTACCGTTCTGCCACTAAGACCACTACATACATTGACAGATGTGTAACGAAATTCATCTCAGCCCTACTTTGGGGTTGGTTCACGTACCACATGTATTACCATTCAGGACATATTTTCGTAAGTTTTCAGCGACTACAGTGGGGTCTCAACTTGGAGAAAGGAGAATAATCGAAGTGCTGATTTTAGGGACATTGGTACATGCCATATTTGCATGAGTTCTCCGATGAAGAGCTTGGTATACTTCCTGATTCGGCAGAAGATCCGGAATACTGGGGCAACCATGGAAAGAAATATGGGACATACCGTTAGAAAAGTCTATTTTGTTTTTGATCTTGTAGTGAAAATCGTATTGCTAAGTGGTGTTTTCATAGCGATAGTGTATAAATATTCGAGAGCCTGTTTGAAGTACACCACAATAACTTAGCTATGGTTCCACTGCATTCTTGGGAATGGGTCATCACAGCTTACAAATAGGTTTTGTATTCGTTCTGTGGTTGTTCTGGAATTCCTTGAAGTGCGTAAGTCACCTTAAACCCCTGTGTGAGAAATGAAAGTCCCGCGAATACAATCAATTTAGATCCGTACATCATACTTGTGAAATAGAAGATGATCGCGAAAGTCAATTAAGACATTGAAACTTGGGTTAGCACGATAGAGGGGTCATATTCTTGGGAATGCGCTTCATGATTGGAGACATTTGCAGTGAAACGTTTTCTGTTCTTCCGTTATGATTAAGACATTGGCGACATTACGGCTCGATGTGGGGATGCAGCATGGTTAACGGTGATATCTTAATGAAGCATTATAGCACTTATGGTGGTCATGATCCATGCTCATCTTTTCCAATAGGTGTTTTATTCAAGGGGTTTTTGAAACTGGGCGGAAGTAGTGTAGTGACATGTGGCGCTTTGCCACGCGGTCAAGGGATCAAATCCTGGGTCGTGAGTCGCCCGGGCCAACCAAGCCTTCCATCCCTCCGGGGTCGGTTAATTGGTACCAGACTTGTCTGGGAGGATAAAAACACTGACTTGTACATCGGCTGGCCCCCGCAAGTCATTGTATAGGCCACATCGCATTCAAACGCCACTACGAATGTACAAATGGAAGTGTGCCGCATCCTAATGTGAAGCTGGACCGCTTTTAAAAGGCTCCAGATGTATTGACTTCTAAACACGTAGACCCAAAGTCAAAGCTCACGTCTTCAACTCGCATGTTCTTCCCGCGATGACCTACGGGGCGGAGACGTGGAGCACCACAGTCTCTGAAGAGGAGAAACTCGCAGTCACTCAGCGAGCCATGGAGAGGGCCATGTGCGGGGTAACGCTCCGAGACCGCATACCCAATGACACCATCCGCGCTCGTACGATGGTGAAGGACGTCGTCGATGCCATCTATAATTCCAAGCGGAGGTGGGCCGGTCATGTGGCTAGACTTACCGATGATCGCTGGACGAAGAGAGTGACTGACTGGTACCCAAGGGGAAAAACAAGGCCCAGAGGCAGACCCCCCACCAGATGGGCAGACCCTCTCGTGAAGATTGTACGGCCAGTTGTGGCGCAGAAGAGCCCGAAGCAGAGCGGCCTGGAAGATGTGCGACCTGCGTTTCTGGCGTGCCCGGGACGAATAGAGGTCGTGAAAAAGGAATAGAAAGGCGCGGTCCCACGCGGCAGACACACTGAAAATCGCACTGTTGTCAGTGGGTAAAAGGAAGATTCCGCGATGAATTGTTGGTCAAGGAAGTGAAAATTCTTCTCTAAGGGAGGAAAACCCTCTAGTATTCGAACCGATGCGCACATTATGTTTGTTCCAGTATTATGGGCTATCGGGATTAACACATGGAAAGCTCTCGTCTTAATCGCTGGCTCCAGAGTGGAAATGAGTGGACAATGAAGGGGTCCGTTCGTGGGTTCTGAGGCAGCCTTTCTTGATATTTTCTTCATCAGTGCACATTTGACCACCTCATATCACTTATAACCCACGACCATTGCATTACAAAATCCGCCTTTGAGGGTTGGGATCAAATCGCATGGGTGGGAAGATTTACTATTAGAAGCCTGTGTCCGAACGACACAGCAAGTGACTGGCCAAGTCGTGTTGTGAGAGAGTGAATGTGAGGTACAATAGCAAGGATTCGCCTTGCTGCGACGTGGGAGTGACCCTCAATTGCGTTTGAGACGAGTGGAGACGATGCTTTATTAACACGTTAACGACAGCGTGACGCGGTAACGCGTTCCACCAAGGTCATCCCTTTTTCTTGCGCTTGTGCGACTTATTCCTAGGCTGTTTTCAACAGGCCACTAAGGCCTTATGACCGAGCCTCCAAGGCTCCTCTCTCCAGGCCGCCGAGGCCAAATACACCGATGCATTTATTTATTTATTTATTTATTTATTTATTTAAACTGCACTTTAGGTGCGCCCAAAACAATACCAGGACTCATGTTAGTCGAAACATAACGCAAAACGAAGAAATAAAAATAAACCAAGCAGTCACCAAAGACCGAGTACAAAACTGCTACAGCCAGGAGACAACATTCCCCTAATTAGATGGCATCAAACTGGGGACAGCGATTCATATGGCCTTTCGCTAACGAGCCGCTGAGGCTCCCATCACTGCGCTACAAGGGCTATCTCTGCTGAGCCTAGGTCTCTTCTCTCTTTCTCTTTCCGCTTCTTAACCAACATACCGCTCGGCACCACACAGATGTCTGAAGACTAGGACTACTGGAACCACTGGGATATATGAAATCTGCAACCCAGACTTGCATCCA